CAGCACTGCTCAGAAGGCTGGAGGACTTCCGAACCTCCTGAGAAGGCCAGACCCTTCTCACTCCCCCCCCCCCTCGCTCGCCGCCGATCTAATGGTGCGAGGGACCCCAGTAAACTTCGGAACCTCATGCCCGAGATGGCGAGGAGGAGGAGGAGGAGGAGGAGGAGGAGGAGGAGGAGGAGGAGGAGGAGGAGGAGGAGGGAGGAGGGAGGAGGGAGGAGGAAGGAGAGAGGAGGGAGGAGGGAGAAGGCGACCAAATCAGCGGCGAAATGGTCCGCTGACGGGTGGCGCCGCGCCGCGCCGCCTGCCCGAGGGCGGCTGGAAGACATTCCTCCCGCCACCATTGGGGTGCCGAAGGTGCAGCCGCCTCCTCCTCCTCCTCCTCCTCCTCCTCCTCCTCCTCCTCCTCCTCCTTGGGCAGGCGTGCCCCCCGTGGGAAACCGCAGCCCCTGATCGTTGATTTGTCTGTTTGACCCCTTCTTCGCCCGTCGCCTGTGGAGCAGGCGGCGACGCCACCCCGAGACACTCCCGGCCAGCAGCCCGAGCAGAGGGAGCACCAGCAGACACACGCGTGAACACCAGCAGCAGCAGCAGCAGCAGCAGCAGCTGGCCGCAGCCACAGCACAGCAGCACCACTTGGCCGCAGCCGCAGGCACGCGCGGCGGACGCCGGGCGCTCTTCCCTGGCGGCCTGCCGCTATGGAGAGCCGTCCACAAGCACGGGCAGGCCACGGCTAGAGGCACCCCCCTCCCCGCCTGCCCCCTGCCCCCCGCCCCCATGGTCACCCCTCGCCTCCTCATACCCGTTCCCCGCTCAAGCCTGGTGCTCTTTGCCAGCGGCCTGCCGTTGCCGAGCGCCTTCTGCAAGTACGGACAGGCCACAACTGGAGGCATCCGCTGCAGCCCACGCCCTCCCGTCCTCCAATCCCCCTCACTTCTCGTTACTCCGTTGCTCGCGGCACAGTGCCCGACATCCTTGTGCGACGCAGACATCCTGCTCTTCCGACGAAAACGAAACAGCAGAGGGCCCTCAAACGCGACATGGAGGCGTTGAGCTCCCCTGACCTTGGCGACAGCCACCCGTCTAAGCACACACATTGGTGCAAGTCCTCTGGACAAGCATCATGATGAAGCGCGCTGCGTGCTATGTAGCCAAAAGTAGGACAGCTGAAAGAGAAGATGGGGACACAGAAGAGAAGTCCATGCGTGCGTACACCTGTCGCACCTCGCCAGCGGCACGCGCACAATCTTCCATCACGGCGTAAAGCTGAAAGACAAAACTAGGAACCTGTGAAATGGGCCCGGGCCTCGCAGTGCACCTCAAGACCCCACGGCAATCGCGAACCACTCGGTGAGCAACCTCTAAGTGACGTAGGCGGGTCACCCGGAAAAGGAAGCGGCCGCCTTTGCTCGAGGGGATGATGGAGTCCAACTGCAATTGCGTCAGAGACAGGGGTCGCGTTCCTGTCGCGTCTAAGGCAACGCCCCTGCCAATAGCGAGCGCCCAAGGTAGTCCGCAGCATAGTGACTGACATCGATGATCTCATCGCAACGCGAGTTCTCGGAAAAGAAATTGGAACAACGG